TCCACTCACCTCAGCCTCCCAAAGTGCAGGATTACAGGCTGAGCCACCGAGCCCGGCTGCAATTTCTTATAAAACTAAATACATAGGCCAGACACAGTGGCCCAAGCCTATAATCCCAGCACTTTGGAAGGTCAAGGCAAGAGGATTGCCTGAGCCCTGAGCCCAGCCTGGGAAACTTGGTGAGACCTTGTCTCTAATATATATATATAAATTAGCCGGGTGTGGTAGTGCACGCCTATAGTTCCAGCTACTTGGAAGGCTGATGCGGAAGGATCATGAGTCCAGCAGATCAACACTGGGGTGGCATGAACATGCCACTGCACTCTAGCTTGGGTGTCAGTGTGAGACTCTGACCTCCCCAAAAAAGAAAAAAACCTAAATAGATAACTATTCCATGTCCCAGTAATTCTACTCACATATTAACCCAAAAGAAGTAAAATCATGTATGTACAAAAAGACTTGTACAAGGATGTTCATAGCACCTTATTCATAATGAGCCCCAAGCCTGAAACACCCCAAGTGTCCATAAGTAGAAAAATGAATAAACAAACTGGAGTACACTCTTACAATGGAATACTACTCTGCAGTGAGAAAGAACTTATAGATACATGCAACAACATGAATCTAAAAAGCATTATACTAGCCGGGCTCGGTGGCTCAGCCTGTAATCCCGCGCCTTTGGGAGGCTGAGGTGAGTGGATTGCCTGAGCCCGTGGGTTCGAGACCCGCCTGGGCAGTGAAACCTCATCTCTACAATAAAAAAATCAAAAAATCCGCTGGGCGTGGTAGCGCATGCCTGTAATTCCGGCTACTCGGAAGGCTGAGGCGGAAGGATTGCCAGAGCCCAGCAAGCGAGGTTGCGGTGGCTGGGAGCAGCCACTGCACTCTACTCCGAATGACCGAGTGAGACTCCAACTCAAAGAAAAGAAAAAGCATTATGCTAATTGATAAACGCCAGATACAAAGACAACATACTATATAATTACACTCATGTTAAGTTCAAGAATACGCAAAAACTAAATAATGAGGAGGTAAAAAGTTAAACCGGTGGCTGCCTCTATGGATTACTTGGAAAAAGGCAGGAGAATTAATTGGGAAAAGGTTAGGAATGTGGATTAATTGGGAGATAGCATGAGGAAACTTCCTGAGGTGATGGTAAGATTCTACATGTTGCCAGGCTCGGTGACTCAGCCTGTAATCCCACACTTTAGGAGGCTGAGTTCAGTAAATTGCCTGAGTCTGCGGGTTCGAGACCCACCTGGGCAACTTGGCGAGACCTCATCTCTA